GCAACACAAGAGCTCAAGAAATGCAAAGACCCAAAATCTATTTTGTCAAGTTAGTTTTTAAAGCAGCAGAGTTGTTTTTTTTTTTTACTTTAGAGTGTTCCTTTTTATACTGGTTTCAGTGATTATCGAGCCATAAACCTGAACAACTTCACATCAGATAGCATCCTGTAGCCTCCCGCTGGCTAGAAACTGCACTTAATGCTTTTGTGGCACGGGTAGGTTCACTAGTGGGAGGTCTCTACCTGCTTTACGACATTAACCGTTTACATTTCCAGTAGCTAATAGAGTGAACATCAGCTTGGCCTACAATCTGAGATAGCTAGAGGAGGCTACAAAATCACGGACTTATGGTGGCCTGGCTTTGTTGCTACTGGACTTGTAAGTAATAATGATTCATTTTTTGTCTAACAGTGTGAATTTTTTTTATTTAGTACTGGCACTTGTTAGCATTAACTCGTTAGCACTAGCTACAGCGGGCTGCTGCGGAGTTGTTTATGACAGATGTAATTCTGTTTTCAACCAGTAGGAGGGAGAAGTGGGGAAACTTCTTTAGTTTTGCTTTGAAACATAACAAATTGGAAAGTTGTGCTTAATAAAAACATTGCAATATATTAGTGTTCAAAACCATCTGTATTAGTTGATTTTAAAGGCACTTTTTTCCACTTATGTGAGAGAAGGGAACCACAAAAAATACACTTAATTTTTTTAGTTGATTTTAAGTCTTTATGCCAAGTTTTGTGCCTCATTTAATTTTTTTCATACACATGAGAAGTTGCCTGCAGAAACATTTGTGCTTTATCAGCATGACAAGTTCTGGTTCAGTGCCAAACAAAAATCTAATCAACAAGACTTGTTTCACCTGTTTCCATAAGTTCTTGAACTTTTTTCAGGTGGTATGTGAGCTTTCTTTTATTCTCTATATTCACTTTCTTTAACCCCTTTTTCCTACGGGTTGTTGGAAGCTGCTGCTTCCCTCCTGCTGAGTGCTAGGGGACACCCTGGACAGGTCACCAGTTCCAATTAAAATTCTGAGTAGCCAAAAAAACCAAACATGGTTAACTATTTCTTCTTCTTCTCCTTCATGCAACTATATTTTGCCCCAGCTTCCATTTAAGATGTCCTATCCGACTCCATGTTTATCTTCACCTCCTCAGCTCACACACAATTACGGTCAGTGCTCCTTTTCTGTCTGTTGCTGATATCTCCATCTGCAGCCAGTCAAACGTGAAAAATACTGCTGACACGCCACAAAACGGACACACCAAGGCAATCAGATGTCTACATCATGTGCACAAACTTCATTTGTGGCTGCCAGAGTGCCACAAGCAATTAAAACAAACACATTCCATCAGTTCGGTTGACACAGATGTTTCTCAGATGAACAAATGCAATCAAACACACATTTTACTCCTACTCAACAAAATTCTACAAGTCAGTGCTTCACAGACGTGCAGACACAGCACAACAGAAATCCTCAGATTGTCTCAAGTCTTTATACACGCTTTTTCACATGATGCATATAGATTCAAGTAAGTTGTCACAGTTCCAACTGTTCATCCATCATTTACTCTTTAAACACACAGATATCTATTTTTAAATGTTTGAAAGTGTATTCATTGAAAAAGTAAGAAACAATCATATTGCATGTTTGGAATAAATTTGTTTCTCCCTAAATGTTTAAGATCAGTTATTCGTTTTGCCAATGAAGTCAGGTTAGCATCAACTCTTAGTCCCCTGCTGTCATGAACAGGAACTACATGGAAGGCTATTTTATGTAATACTTTTTTAACCAGGTTACCAGTTTCTCTTGAACCAGTCAGCCAAAGGGACATCCCCTTGGCCAATTAGCCAGGGCGCATGATCAATCGGGTCGCAGTGACAGGACGCTCACACTGTGACAGATTTTCGTTGTGGATAGCTTTTTGTCCTAGATTATGACAGAATATATCATAATGACCACATTGTGCAACAATAAAGGAAAACACAGAACAGAAATGACAAACCTAACAAAAGTCCACTAAATGAATGACAACTAAGAACTACAGAGAAATAATTGATAGATTTTACGTAATATTAAATAATTAATGCATTTGTGAGGAGAGCGATTCAACCGAAACTGTATTTGGGATTTTATTTTGAAATGTGACGGCCGGAAGTATGTGTGCATTTTATGTTGAAATGTGTCCCGGGCATGCGTGAATTTATTTTGAAATAGTACAATCGGATGTATGTTTGCCATTTTATTTTGAAATGTATCCCGTGCATTTCCCATCCTGACGGTCCTGACAGTGGAGGTCTGCAGCCAGGTGCTCTTGGCTTCTCTAAGGGGTGTCTAAACTTCTGATGTATGTATGTGTATTGATATAAACCCACTAAAACAACACAAACAATATTGGCTTCATCTGGAAGTTCAAGACATGATCATCTTTAGTAACAAATCAACTTTTACTTCACAAATATGTCATTTTGCTCATATTAGTTATTTTAACCAATAGACAATTGATTACTTATTACAGCAAAATTTTATGGACATGATTATTTCCTGATTGACTAAATCCTCCAGCATCCATTCTGCTTCTTCAGAAAGAGTGAAACGGCCTCATTAACTTGCCATCCAGACCACGTTTCTCTCCTGTGTTATTTAAATTTTATTTATGATATGAGTTTCAGACTAAATCAGAGGCTGGGGAGCTCGTCAGCTGAACTTGAGAAATGCTGGAGGATTTGTTATGAATAAGGCGTAAAAGATGGATGAAGATGGATGAGAACAGACAAAAGAGCTGGAAGATGACAGGAGGAGAGCCACCCTACATTCCTTTATGTCTGGAGTTCTGGTCTGACTCCGTGTGACGGTTAACTCTGCTCCAATATGGAACAATGAGCTCGGCTCTGTATATGTATCTGGCCACTGCCAAGTGGGAAAACAAACACATTAATTCACAGGCTGTAAGCAAAAACAAGCAGACCCTTTCTGGATGCAGGACTATGAGGAGAGCATTTGAGGTTTCAAGTGCCCCCTGACTTCAACATTCATGTGTGTGTGTGTGTGTGTGTGTGTGTGTGTGTGTGTGTGTGTGTGTGTGTGTGTGTGTGTGTGTGTGTGTGTGTGTGATGAAGCAGGCAGAGAAACACCAGGGGTGATGACAGCAGACTAGAAAGAACACATGTGCCTGCATGGTTCTGAGGTAAAACATCCTTCTTCCTGCTTGAATTCTCCCACTAATTGATTGAAATTAGATAATGACGGCTTTTCCTTCCGCTAAATTACATCTACATCCTCCTGATAGTACAAACAGCCTCAGGCTTTCTGAGGATAATGATGACAGAGGAGGCTGATAGGTGAAGAGATGTACAAACTAATGTGGGATTAAAAAGTAAGAATTGGGAAGAAAGATTTACTCAAAAAGATACAGAAAATGAGGGTCAACTCATACGGGAAAATATGTAAAAGAAGGCGAACTGTGAGGTCAAGTTGGAGGTCAGTGAGGCAGGAAACAGAGACAATCTTAGAATCTTAAAGGCAGAGTTCTTCCCACACTCCTCGTCATGCACGAGTGTTTCTGTTCGCAAGTGAGAACAATAAAGTTTTATCTGGAGCAAAAATACTTGCTGAGAGGTTTCTCCACTTTGTATAGAGTCACCTTAACAGGATCCTCAACATATTAGGAAGCCAGATGTAACACAATAAACATGGTGGCCATGTCCTAAAAACTGTAAACAGCAACAGGAAGATAAAGATCTTTGTAGAATAAGAGAGAAATTATTCAAATAAGGATTTTCTATGACCTCAAAACTCAAATGTGTTGGAAATGTAACAAAATCCAAACACTAATGTCAATGAAAACTCATCAGATTGCCTTCACCTGTTATCAAAATACAAATAAAAACATCAAATAAACCCTAAATAACATAAACTGTTCAAAACTGGTTTGAAGTTGGTGATAAAATTACATTTTATGTTTCAATTCAACTGATTCCCTTTGAAATAATGCTGCACCTTAAACAATCAATTATCTAATCTTGTATAGGAGGTGACGGTTTAAAATCCACCCAAAAGAAATGTTCTTAAAATTGTATTAAGAATTCCTCAACCCCCCAAGCTGCTTTACAATCAGTCACAATCACACTAACAAGCTGCAGATGAGCTCTTTTCTCATAAAGTTTTATTTAATGCCAATACAGACGGACTCCTCTTGATTTTAGATTTCAGCTGTTTATAAACTGTGATAAAGTTTTCTCATTTCGTCATGCCTCCAGTACCAGTAACTGGTTTATTTCCAGTCCAGCCAGGAAGGCCAAAAAGCCTCACATTGTGACTTTTCTCTTGAACGGGAGGAAATCCTGCGAGATATCCAGCCAATGATAATTGCAGATACGCTTTGGGCTAAACTGTGAAACAATGAGTCTGGTTTGGAAACAGCAGTCAACATCACTTTATGCACACTTCTTTACTGGCTCATTATCTCTGGAATGAGTCATAGCCGAAAACTGGGAAGGGTGTGAACTGGTGAAAACATACCTGTCGAAGGCAATTGTTCAGATTTTATGGTTAAATAATTAAAATCATGACAGTATGATTGAAGAGTTTAAAAGATGATGAAGTTACACTCTCTAGGAATTAGGCCGTTACTAATAAAACTGTTAATGAGACGGTCGCACCCCGGTGTGTGTTTCACCGCAGAGATGAACCTCCGCCAACATCTCCTCCGGCTGCGCACCCTGCCTGCGCGCCCCCGTAAACCCCAGAAACAGTAGCCAAAACAACGACCCGGATTAAACGCTTCCAGCTTGACCACCGCGAAGGGAAAAAAGCCCAAAAGGAAAACAAGAGCAGGCGCTAAATGGAAGAGTTCACGCAGGAAAACAAACTTCTACTGAACTAGGAATAGATATTTCTCATTCTCACCTGATGGTTAAAAGTGATAAACACAACCACCTGCGCACGCGCGCGAGCGCGCAGTCGTGATGAGCATCTGTGTAGGGATGGATTAGATTATTACCTTTATAGGTGAGTCTCAGGCGTGGCACGTTTATCTTGCTTGCTGAAGAAATGGAAGCGATGAGAAGCGCGACTATATTGATGAAGAAAGGTGTAAATCCCCTCATTATGTTATTTCTGCTGTTTTATTTATGCAAATTTAAACTATAAAATCCAAATAAAATAAAATAAAAACTTATTTGATCATTCTCATCACGGTTCCGGTGTTAAGAGTTTGGCCATCCCCTGCGCGCGTAAACGGATTCCTCTTTGCTGCTCTGCTGAGGCTGGTGAGCAAATCCACACACATTCGCCTCTAAATGGTTCAGCAGTTCACTTCCAGCAGCAGCCCGACAGTACACCACGCCTTTTCGAGAGAGAGAGAGAGAGAGAGAGAGAGAGAGAGAGAGAGAGAGAGAGAGAGAGAGAGAGAGAGAGAGAGAGAGAGAGAGAGAGAGAGAGGCTTGATCCTCCTTTACGCACAGCACTCCGCACCTGGTGGAGCGCGGGCGCGAGTTCATTATTTGGAGACAAACGGCAAACTCCCTGGAAACAATTTTACAGATAATTACAGGGAAACTGGTTTAAATTACTAACCACTTTCTCTTATTAATACATCAAAGGTTTTACTAGTTTCCAGAATTAGCTTCTCCAAAAAACAAATTGGTGATTTTATTGTTAATATTTGACATTAAAAGCTCCTGAGCCCCTTCACTTTGTACAACGTCCCCTGCTTTCCACTGAATTCTGGGAATTTTGAAAAACCTTTCCTGTTCAGATTCTTACTTTTTATTAGATGAATTATGACTGTTTTTCTTAAGTTATAGTTTTGTGATCAATAGAACATGTTTATGAAGTTCTTAGCACTAAATTTCCCTCACATAATACAATTTCAGCTGTTTTATTCTGGACATTTTCAGTTCTTTCCAGATTGAGTCATTTCAGGGCTCTGTCTCTTTAAGAAGACAAGCTGGAGCTGGCGACGCCCATCAGTCACCCATTCAGTTTGCCTTAAGCTGAGAGGCTCTGATATCTGGGAGGGACTCATAAGCCCCCTTCAGACAGGCCATGAAAAACGGAAATGTTCGGAACTCTGTCCGTAAGACCTTTGTGTCTGAATACAAACATCCGAAAAACGTTTTCCATAATTAAACCGGACAACGCCCCTAGGTCCGGACTTGTCACGGACAAGGTGGCTGCTTCAGACTGGAGAGGTAGAGTTCCGGACAGGGAGGAGGGGGAGGAGGAGGGGACCGGGGGACGCTGTGCGTACCTAGATAGCTCGCTCCTGTAGCATGCGGCGAACCACGGCAGCTCGCCTCCTACGGTACCGTCTAGACGCGCGACGGAGCGCTTCCGTGATTCCTTTAACCATTGAGCTTCATCATCCAGGTCTCTTATGCGTCTTCGTGTGTGCAGAATTATGCTTAACATAAGTCTGATCAGTGAGATGAATTATATCTCTTCGTCTGCCATGTTTGACTGAATGGCTTTGTTTGGGTAAATGACGCATGTACGCCCGCCGCACTATGTTTACGCAATATCTGGGTACAGCCTTCCCACCCCCTCAGACATCTGGAACTTTTCCCTGCTGTGTGAAAGCAGCCGAAAGGACAAGTTCCAGTACAAAAGTGGTGTGTCTGAAAACACAGTTCTGGTTAAAAACCGGCCTGAATTGTCCACTCATGTTCTAGAATGTCTATCTGAAAAGGGCTCTAGAGTCCTGGCTACCCCAGCAGAATATATTTCATGCACATGGGAGGTGGTTCTTTGCTAATTTCCCTGATTGTGACATCACAAAAGAGGAGTTTCAGGCATATATCTCCTGAAACTAAACACTGACAGAAAATGAGTGGAGGCAGTAGAGACCCACATGAGAGCCCAAAAGGATGCAAAAGATCAGTTTTGCATAATATGTCCCCTTTAAAAGTAATCATTTCTTGATGCCTCCTCACCTGTCCCAATTCCTCTATAGCACTCCTGCTATGGCTTTGAGATCCAAAGATCAGCTATAGTTGGTCACATCACAGAGGTGATGGAGCAAAATCAGTAGTGATGCCAATTCTGTGGAACTGCCAACTTCTGCTAAAACATTTCAAATGACTGATCATTTTAAATCACTTGAGACGAGTACATGTTTTCTTCATTGTTGAAGTTTGATTTCTATTGATATGAGTTGTATATTCATTTTGTGATCATTTGTTTACTGCCCGTTTTTTCCATGTTGTACTTTGGTCAACAAAGGCTGTTTAACTGAAAGGCATCACACCCTGGACACCACCAGACTGGGGCAAAGTGGACCCATGCATGGATGTTTTGACTTGAGAGGGAGGGGGGGGGGGGGCACAACTAGCATGAGGACTGAGGGAAGGGGTCCTCACAGTATTTATTAATCAATAAATAACAGTTATTTATTAAAATAGTTAAACACAAGTCAAATAAGCATAGACAGGACAGGTTATCTTAAAAGTGGATCTTTTACTTACTTTATAAAACAAAATTCCATAGAGAGTTTACATCTAATTAAATTAAAGTCTACTTTTTGGGCCAATTATTTTTTTCAGTGTAGAGTGAAGAGGCCTAAAACAGGAATAAAAGTCTCATAACGGGGACGTTGGGGTGTGACGTGCTGAGCATGAGGCTCTTGACTTTTCTAGCAGAATAAAGACTAAAGAATCCCGTAGATTTATTGGTAATAAATGAACAAGAAAAAATCAATCTTAACACTTGTCTTCCCTCCAAAAGGTGACCTTTTTTAACCCCTGCTTGTGACAACATTCTCAGTAGTTTAATTAAGTAGCAGGATACTTTCTCAACACCCCCCTCCATACATGCATCCATTCACATGCAAGCTTATAAGTGCACACTGGGGTCACGGCAGAAGGAGAAAGAGCCATTCAAGGTGTCAATGGTGACGCAACCCCGCTTTATCTGGGAACACTTGTTTATAGCATGAAAGACACTCCCATACATGCTTCATACAGGCTGTGAGGCAGACGGTGGGAAACAGGAGGGGTTTGCTGGGAACGCTGGCGCTTTGAGTGACAACGCGTCTCACATTGTTGAGCTCACCATTTGATTCTATTCAGCATTTTTGAGAACTTGTCATCCAGACGCTGGCCTTAAAAATCACACAAGCCAAGCATTTAGCATCCCGGGTTTCTGGAGACACATACAAGTCAAAAGGGCAGCGACAAGATATCAAACATCTACCAAGACATCAGATGTAAACATTTATGTACGGCCGAGACAAGGGATGAAAGAGCTTCCTGTCCTGATGCCTCCTACGTTCAGCTGATACTTTGTTCCTTGAGGTCCAGATTTTGTTTCAAGTAAACATCAATAGCTGCTGATGAAAAAAAGATGTTCCCACTTTGCTTTCTGGTCTCGCCTTGCATCTTTTGTGGACAAACATGTTGGAAGAATTTTTCCACTTCACATTCTTTGGTTTTATGTTTCCAAAAATCAGGAAACACTACCAGTGTTTGTTCTGTTGGCCCTGGTTTGGAGCTTTATGGTGATATCTCACATATGCAGTAAAATAGGATGCATGGGTCTTTTAAAAAGGGGCTTTGCATTGACATTGAACATAAAAGTCAAAATAGGTTTCCAGTGATGCTGTTTTTGACCACTGGTATGGAAAAAGCTTTAATGTGATGGAAAATGTCTCATAAATAAATAAATCATGGTGCATCTGCATGAAATTGGATTGCCTTCAATGCATAAATCATTTCAAATGACATTTTATTAAACTAAAAATGTCAATAATACTTTATCCTGCCCGTTCACACAAACATCTACCCTGGTCATGTCTATTAGTTAATAGCGAATAAAGTTTTTCCTAAAAAAAACTGTGTCACTTTATTTTTTTTTACCCTTTCCAATACAAATTCACATTAAAAGGCTGTTATAAGAGTAAAATCTATGTTTTATCAGTATTCCTACTAAAAAGAACTACAGTAATTTAAACAGTGCAGGCGTATTCACATACATTTCAAAAATAATTATTTACTAAAATTCTTAGTTTGGATAAAGATGCTATCAAAAATAATTTTGTTTTGGTTGTCTTTGGTAGAGTTTAGGATTCCCTGTCCCTCATGTTGCAGAAGAACAAAACACAAAGCAATAAGTAATACGTAATAAAATGTTGAGTTTACTCAACCAAGTTATGTCAACTGGTTTCACCAAACCTATGTAAGGAGTAATATGCATAAACCTTTATTCAACAACATATAACAATGTGTATTTCTCTTTACTTTTAGGTAACTAGGTTCAGTGGAACCAGTTGAAATAACTTGGTTAAATAAATTCAACATTTTATTTCTTACTGTATGAGCATGTTTGATATGCCACCAAGTCATCATTTCTCCAAATCTCAATATTTTAAGTCCGCTTTGAGAATCCTAAACTGGATGTATATGTTTAAAACCCAAATTCGTAAAAATGTAAGAATATACAGATCTGTGTCAAAATATTGCTTTTTTTCTTCTTCAGGTTTGCTGCTATTTTGACAACCACAGAAGAAAAACTGAAACTTTATATACAACACATAAATAACATTCGATGTAGGTGTGTGACCAGCTTTTATTAAAGTTGGCTCGGCTGACATCTTTGCTGCGTTGAGATCTCTCAGTCCTCGGAGGCTCCTGATTGGCCGAGGGCAGTTTAATTCTGAAGGACAAATGGACGTGGGAATGCAGCAGAAGAGGCCACGAGTGGGTCGAGTGTTTGAGGGCTGAATAATTAACTGTAAAAGCAGCAGCCTTTTTACCATCATTGTCACGTGTTTGCTGTATTTCGTAGAAACTGGTCAGTTGAATTGGCTGAAATCAGAACGGCTTCTTTCACCACAAGTTTCAAAGTGAAACATGAGAAGCTCGTATGATTACAAAAACTGAATTTCCTTTTCTCTGATTTACAGTTCCTTTCTCCAACCACGCTCTGTGTCATTACTAATCACAGGCAACACTCATGGTTTTCAAACATGTTGCTGCTCCTTGTAAATCCCACAAAGATCCTCTTGTGTTTGAGTCTCAACCTCCAAGGCCTCCAACAATATAATTCATTCTGAAATGTACGGAGAGCCCTTCAGAAATGTCTTTTTTTAAGAATCATTGTGCGACTGAAGGACTTTCTTTGCACCTCTTGAAATTCTCCCAAGACTAAATTATGCTCTTCGAGCCATCAGTGCCGATGAAATGCAAAACCCTTTACGGCATCTCGACAGAGCGTCACTTTGACAAATCAGACTGGAAGTTCTTGAGTGGTGATTGGGAATGGCAGAGCAGAAGTTCATGAATTCACAATGTGGGAGGTAGGGCAGAAATAACC